CCAGAACACGGAAAGGGATTAGCAAAGCATATTCATGGAACACGTAAAGGGATTAGCAAAGCATATTCCACAATACTCTTTGGCGATGAATCAACAGCGAAGACCTAAGCATTATGACGAAGTAGAAAGATTCTGATGAAATGCCGCTCAGCGCCACTTATATAGGGTGCTTTCCCACCCCCTTCTTGTGCGCTTGAGTGCCATTGGCCATTGCGATGCTAAAGCAAATAAGGCTTCACTATTTGAGGAGAAAGGTGTTTCCCCAATGGGATCATCTTACGCTGTACACAACGTCGAGAGACCCTTTCGAAAGGGAATGCTGAATAAAGGTTTGAGTTTGGGACTGTTCCTTGCAATCATATGGATTCTGAAGATTTGGATTACAGCGCACAAACAAAATTGATTACTTTTGTAATTATGTTGCGTTTTTTTTGGTTTATTCTATTTTATGGTTCTATTTTCAGTCACAGCATGTCGGAGAAAACGCCTTTTGTGTCCCATGGCAAAGAAAGTAAATGTTACAGGATAAGTAATGGTTAAACGATTGCAGAAATTGTATTCATATTAAGGGTTTAAAGTGTAGTCTTGTTTAACATTTTAATATTCTTCAAAACGAGTTGGCAGCAGAAATCACACAGAACTGAACGAAATGTTATCATTTCATATTAACAGGGCTTAAAGTTCTCCGGCGTGCAGCGTTTGGTTGCGTAAAAAAAAAAATCCTAGATTTAAAAAAAACTTGTTGATATCACTTTCGAGTCCATGAGTTCACCTACCAATGGTATGAGAGGAGTACAGCTTTCACTCTCAACCAAACTAACATTACTAGCCAATCAGAATATTTTGCTCTTATAAACCCGAGACGCGCATAATAGTATCAAAATGCAGTCGCAGCCCTGATGAATGGAGAAGCGCGACAAAAAGCTGCGAGGCGCAATGGTCAAGAATGTAAGGACAGGATCATTTATTTATTCATTATTAATTTGTAATTATAGGGAATTAATGATTATTACCACATTCAGGTTTTGCTAGGACTCGGATCTGAATGTCCCAAGTCCACCTTATTAAACATATTCCAAATTTGTTAGTTTGCACTTCAAATCAAGGGTCGTCCAGCGAGCCGGTGATTCTTAGTATCGTTTAACAAATTAAATATGTGTTTTCCTGGCCACGGTCAACACAATTATGATTATTTGTAAGCTCTTAACAGAGGTAATTATTATAAGTAAGCTACAAACTAAGTAGCAAGGGATCTTTTGGCACAGTTTTAACCTCGAAATTATATGAGCCCAGACACTTCTTCTTTATAAATGAAACATGAATTTTATTGGCTAATCTAGATTACATAAAAACCTAACTAAAACATACACATACACACAAAGATTCAAGGAAAGGAGTCAACGGAGTTGCATTAAGTTTCGCGAGTGGTTTTAAATTCAGCCTAGGAGAATGTGAAAGCCGGAACTGTAATTAATTTGTGAGATGAAATTACAATTTCAAATCTATAGTTAATTACAAAGTCAAATTAACGATTTCAAATCCTTAAGTATAGCAAATTGATGATATTTACTGATGTCCATAAAATCATAAGGGCCATTATCGCTGAATTAATCCCAACGTAGCATTAAAGTAATGGGGCTGAGGACCAGAATACAATTTTAAAACAAAGACAACACCAGCTTTTAAGCCAGGGAAAACCTTCAATAAACGTGATTAAAATTCAACTATGATTGTGTACACAAGGTTATTAAGTTCGTGTTTGGGAATGTTCCTTCTCAATGAGAGGAGAAGAGGAGAGAGAGATAGGATGAAATCAGTATGAAAGCGAAAGAAATCAGCTGTAACTGATCGAGTCACTTCAAATTCAAACACTGCACAACTCTTTGCCTTTGACCACAAATGCTTTTCATAATTCTCCCTTCACAAAACAAAAATAATGTCTCGGACACTCTGTGAGTAGGCTACCGCGTTTTCAAGTTCACTATTTTTTTATTTTTTTTATTTAGTGAATTAAATGGCAAGAGCATTAATTAGCTAGTTTAATGATCTGAAGCCGGGAGATTTATTTGTCATAGACTCATTCGGAAGTGCACCACCACGCACCACCAAATCGAACTATGAAGGCCTTTTTAAAAGACAGAAGAACAAGGGACACGCTTGCTTCTCTGTTCGTGCGCTCTTAAAGCGACTTAAAGAAAACGTTTTTCTGCAGTTCAATTCTTTAAAGAACAACTCGAGTTTTATATTCGAACAACACGCTCTTCCGTGCTAAAAATAACATAACCAAATAACACAACAAATTCAGTTTCTTTTGTCTTTTATCTATTTTTCCGGATAAAAATTAGACAAAATTCATAATATTTATCTTGGGTCATTAATTTTTCAGTCAAATCTTGCCCGCATTCTCCACCACACTGTAAGGACAGGATCATTTATTTATTCATTATTAATTTGTAATTATAGGGAATTAATGATTATTACCACATTCAGGTTTTGCTTGGACTCGGATCTGAATGTCCCAAGTCCACCTGATTAAACCGATTCCAAATTTGTTAGTTTGCACTTCAAATCAAGGGTCGTCCAGCGAGCCGGTGATTCTTAGTATCTTTTAACAAATTAAAACGCTGAGGCGGTTCCGTCACTGACGCGGGCGTGCTGGAGGGGATTCCGTTGCTGACTGGCTGTTGATCTGGCTCCGGGATGACGTTTGGGGAAATCCCTCATTCGATTAGTTGGTTTCTTGATGACACAGAGACTTGAGCAGTTCGCGAAGTTTCACTGAAGTGTTTGGGTTCTTAGATGGTATCGTGAGGTGCTTTGTCGCGCTCACCAAAGGAAAGCCAGACGTCTTGATCGGGTAAAAGCAAGCCTTGAATCTGTGTTGCAGTGGGGTTTTGATCCGCGGCGTAAGTCCATCCCACAGGTCGCTGTTCCAATCAGATAGTGGCTGCGGGGTTGAGCCACGCCCCATATGGTTCCTTATCATGCATGAATCACATGCTGGTTGTGGTGAGTATTTCTGCAAGTTTTTGAGAACTTCTATCATCACCGGAAAATTATGCTGAATATCAATTATTCACTTACACCAATGTTCTGTGAATAAAACAAGCTCTTGAGTATTTCTGCAAGTTTTTGAGAACTTCTATCATCACCGGAAAATGATGCTGAATATCAATTATTCACTTAC